TCTCCTGCCTCAGCCGGGACTACAGGCACGCGCCACCATGCCCAGCTAATTTTTTGTATTTTTAGTAGAGACGGGGTTTCACCATGTTGACCAGGATGATCTCGATCTCTTGACCTCGTGATCCACCTGCCTCGGCCTCCCAAAGTGCTGGGATTACAGGCTTGAGCCACCGCGCCCAGCCTAACTTATTTTCTTTATCCATACGTGTGTGTGTGTTTCAAAATAATATACCAATAATGGCTGGGCACAGTAGCTCACGCCTGTAATCCCAGCACTATCGGAGGCCAAGGCGGGTGGATCACCTGAAGTTGAGAGTTCAAGATCAGCCTGGCCAACACAGTGAACCCCCGTCTCTACTCCAAATACAAAAATTAGCTAGGTGCAGTGGTGTACACCTGTAATCTAAGTTCCTTGGAAGGCTGAAGAGCCGAGATTGCACCACAGCACTCCAGCCTGAGGGACAGAGCGAGGCTCTGTCTCAAATAAAAATAATAAAATAATATACCAATATTATCATGAACGGTGAGATTACCAAATGCAATTTAGTATTTCCTTGTGGTTCTTTTTGTCCTGATACATTTTAACCTTAGCTGAAGGATAATTTAATGGGACAAATCATTTTTGTACCAGCCTGACACCATCGTTCCTTAATTAGGAGTAAAAGGAGCTAAGTGCAAAAGCTCAAATCATATCAGTTTTTAGGCCATTTCCCTTCCAACTAGCATCCTGAGATAAAAACACAAGGTCTGGATGAAAAAGTCTTCAGGGAATGGATATAAACGCTGGAGGAACAAATCACCCTACTAAGTAACACGGGGTCAGTGAACTGAAAGAGTAAGAGGACAGGAAAGAAATCATGAGCATAATTCTCATTGTACAGGCATGGTAAGTCAGACTGACAGGCAGCTGCAAATTTTCTCAGCAGGAGCTATAGTGAAATGCTGCTTAGCAACACCCGAAGGCAGATGACAATGACAACTATACAAAGAGCTGGAGAATCAGATTTAAGCATGACAATCATACCATCTTACAATTGCCTATTGACCAACCAAGCAACAACTAATTCTGGTTAAGTGGTAAAATCTGGTGACTGTACTGCCTTTGCTTTACTACTTTTATTTCCTATCTTTTTTAAAGGTGGGAAAAATAATGTCTGAGCCAATAAAATTTGGGCATGGCCTTGCATAGTGATACTACTCTGAAAGCATTTTAAGAAACATCTTAAAACTTTACAGGATGTTGTGGAGATTGGCTGTGAGTTAGTGGACCCATAAAATTCAAGGTGATCTCATTATTATTTGTGATATCTTTTCTTCAGATTGAATGTATAATCATTTTCAAGTTTTGATACACATTAGAATCATCCATGGAGCTTGAGTAGGATAGAGATTCTAATGCAGATATGCTGAATCAGAATCTTTAAGCATGGCCTGGCTACCAATATTTTGAAAAAGATCCCAGATAATTTTTTTTGCACCCAAAGTTGAAAATTACTATAACATAACATATAATCATTTAAGACAAAATTTTATATGCATGATAATCATCTCGGGAGCTTGTTAAACATGTGGAGTCTCAGGACACTGGGAAGTTTTGAATTCAGTTGGCCTGGTATGGGCTATGTAATTTCCGTATTTAACCAGCATTCCAAGAAACACCGCATGACGCAGGTGTCATCAAATCACACTCTGAGCAACGTTTTTAAATTTTTTGGTGGGTGGGGGGAGAATGCAAAGAAAACAAAATAGGCAAATACCACCAGGCAGGGGTCCAGAATGTGGCAACTACTGACCTGAGTGATGTTTGTGAATATCTGCTCAGACATTCTCTCGCACAGAACCACCATCAGCTGCAGGACAAGCAGCTTCTGCTCTTGGCCTTCCACAAGAAGAGTCTGATGTTGCTCTAATTCCAAGAGGCTCTTGCTGGAGAAGGGCTTAGTTTTTAATTCTGCTTCATTTTCCGTGGCCACATGAGTCAACTCCTACAAGGGTGGCAGGCAAGAAAAAGTGAAGATAAAGCCAGTAGAACTAAGGCCTTCCCAAACATAAGTAGAAACCTCTGTGTGAACTGTATGTTTAAAGAAATAGTCTGTGTTTGTGGCAACATTATTTGTAATGGCCAAAACTTGGAGACAACCTAAATGTGCAGCAATAAGAAAACATTACAATGTATTTATTATATCACAGCAGTTAATATAAATGAATTAGATTTATATGGGTATCAGTACACTATTGAGTGAAAAATATAAGTTGCAGAATATGTACAGTATGATGTCATGTATATAAAAATGTAAAATCTCATTAAAAAATATATACACACACAAAGAAATAGTTTGACAAGCTTTTTGTTTTGTGAGTATTTTTATGATTTCTACTAGCAGTCTTCCTTGAACTGAGACCTGAGACCACCTCACATTCCCAAACCCCTTTTGGAGACCATTAGATGCCTCCAACACTACCGCCCTTTTCCTCTAACATACTTAGAACTAAACTTCTACTAAGAAATCATGTATTTCTGTGGGTTTTGTAGGCTATTCACCTACTCTTCACTGTTGCAAATTTCCTTGGGAAGTAAAAACCTTGAGTTTCCTAATAAATAATTAGGGCTTTACCAAAGTAATTGACAGTTTAGAGTAGTGGTACTCAACTGTGCCTGGGCAATTTTCATCCCCAGGGGACATTTCACAATGTCTGGGATATTTTGGCTGTCATAATTGAGAGGTAATCTAATTAGTGGAGGTCAGAATGCTTCTAAATACCCTACAATGCACAAGACAGCCACTCACACAAAAAATGTATCTGGCCCAAGGTGTCAATAGTGTCAGGGTGGAGATAACCTGTTTTAGAGCAAAGTCCTTTTATTTGTTTGCTTGTCTATTAAACCATTTTTTTTTTTTTTTTTTTGAGGCAGGGTCTCACTCTGTCACCCAGGCTGCAGTGGATTGGTGAGATGTTGGCTCACTGAAACCTCTGCCTCCTGGGTTCAAGCGATCCTGTCACCTTAGCCCGCTGAGTAGTTGGGACTAGAGGCACAAGCCATTATGCCAGGCTAACTTTTTGTGTTTTTGGTAGAGACAGGGTTTTGCCATGCTGCCCAGGCCAGTCTTCAATGCCTGAGCTCAGGTGATCCACTTAGCTTGGCCTCCCAAAGTGCTGGGATTACAGACGTGAGCTACCATGCCCAGCCTGGAACACCTTTTTGAAGTATACAATTAAGAGCACATCCCCTTGGAATGTTATTTAGAAAAAGTATCACTGGGCATGAGGATAGGTGTGAACATGGGAGGCAAGAAAGCATCAAAAAGTGTTCCCTACTTCAAGTTCTAGAAATGTTAGCCCTGATTCCTTCCTTGAATTCTCCCATGCCCACAGAAACCTTAAACTCTATTAGATTTCTTTTAGAGTAGACACTTTGGCGAAAGAGTTGAGAAAGCAGAGCTGGAGGTAACTGGTTTATGATGTCATATAGTGCAACAAAGAGTAACATTATGGGGTATAAGTTACTGTCAGAGAATAGAAGAAAAGGAAGCAAACCACAACCACTGGCCCTAAGAAACAAACCCAGGAAAGGCTTCAAGTGCCCATAAAATGAAATGAAAGAGGCAAAATTGCTAAATCTCATTTGCAAATAGCTGACAATACAACAGTCAGAAGGATACGGGATTACTCTACAGCTGTAAAACCTGCTATTAACTTCAAAAGGGTTCTTACTGTCAACATGGAGCAAAGATTAATTCTTTCATAGACTGAGGGGCCTGCTTTGTTCATCTCGAAAATGTCAGTGCCGATTACTTGGGGAAGTAGTAGATAACATGGGTATAATGAAGGTAAGCTTCTTCTTTTTACCAATCCAAAGGCCACTAAAAAATAAATTCCTTTATGTCCTCTGATCATTTTCCCTAAAATAGGACCTAAACTTTAGGACCTAAAATTATAAATGCCTTGAAAATTCAAAGGGTCTCCTGAAACTCCCCTGGAATAACAATAACCAGGAACTACTTGTACTTCTTACTTTCAAACAGAAGATGAAGAAGTCTCCTGCCAAACCGCATTCTTGGCAGAGGGACAGCAAGTCCCCAAGATGCTCCACCCGGTCCTGCTCTGAGGATACCTTCTGGTACAGGGCTTCATCTTCATCTTCGTCACTGCAATGAAGGGAAAAATTCATCTTGGCAGTGTCACCAGAGATATACATATTTTTAAACCCCACAGAAATCTCCTAAAGTAACATGTGATGTCCAAACAATCATTAAAAAGATCCCCAAAATTTATTTAACTTACTTTACTATTTCTCCATTCTGAAAAAAGTATTGATTCTCAGAAACAAGCCTGTTATGTCCTGCATGGTCATTTGCTCAAATAGGGAAAGATTCATGAAGATGGATGTTAGCCGGACACAGTGTTGCACACCCGTAGTGTACTAGGAGGCTGAGGCAGGGAGACTGCTTGAGCTCAGGAGTTTGAGGTTGTAATGCATTATGATTACAACTATGAACTGCTACTGCACTCCAGCCAACATAGACGACATGGCAAAAATCTCAGTTCTTTTTTTTTTTTTTTTGGAGATGGAGTCTCACTCTGTTGCCCAGGTTGGAGTGCAGTGACACGATCTCAGCTCACTGCAACCTCCATCTCCTGGGTTCAAGCAGTTCTCCTGCCTCAGCTTCCTGAGTAGCTAGTACCACAGGTACACACCTGCATGCCTGGCTAATTTTTTGTATTTTAGTAGAGATGGGGTTTCACCCTGTTGCCCAGGCTGGTTTCGAACTCCTGAGCTCAGGCAATCCACCTGCCTAGGCCTCCCAAAGTGTTAGGATTACAGGTGTGAGCCACTGCACCCGGCAGATCTCATTTCTAAAAAAAAAAAAAAAAAAAAGCTGGATGTTGAAGAATTACTATTATTTCATAAGTTGCAAAAGCAAGGAGGAATTAAAGTATAAGTTACACGCAGGTATTCTGGATCCTGAGGAAAAACAAAGAAAGAGACAGCTGCAAAGTAAGGCTAGATCACAGAGGGCCAAAAAAAAAAAAAAAGATCACAGAGGGCCTTAGTTGTCATTCAAAGGAACTCTGACTTTTTAATTTTATTTTAATTTTTCCTGGCAACTTTCATTTAATTTTTTTTTTTTTTAAAGGAACTCTGACTTTTTTCTGATGAGCCACTGAAGGGTTATGGGCAGCAGAAAAAGACATGATCATCATGGGAGGACATGCAGTCAACCTCAACTGAAAGGAACCAATTAGCTGAAATAGGAAAATGCATAAAGGTTCGGAAAAATGAGTAGGTTGAATGTGATTACCAAGGCCAGGGTGGTCTTACAAAATCTGGCTACACCAGTGCTATGATTACTGCAAAAATTTCAAGAATTGTTTGTTTGTTTGTTTTGAGACAGGGTCTCACTTGTTGCCTAGGCTGGAGTGCAGTGGTTCGTTCATGGCTCACTGCAGCCTCAACCTCCAAGGCTGCGGCAATCCTCCCACTTCAGCCTCCCAAGCAGCTGGGACTACAGAGGTGCACCATCATGACCAACTAATTTTTGTATTTTTTTGTAGAGAGCGGCTTCTGACATATTGCCCAGGCTGGTCAAGAAATTTTTATACTTTCTCATGAGGTGCTATGGCTTTTAGTTTTTAATTCTTCTGACAGGTGAAGAGACCGAGATACTATATATATAATACACACACACACACACATTTTTTTTTTTTTTTAAGAAATGGGGTCTTGCTATGTTGCCCAGGCTGGTCTTAAACTCCTGGTCTCAAGCAGTCCTTACACCTTGGCTTCCCCAAAGTGCTGGAACTACCAGTATGAGCCACCAAAACTAGCCCAAGATACTATATTATTATACCACATCATCATATAAACAAATACAAAGGCACTGAAGATGTAATAAAAAGCAAAATGCTAATAAAATGTGAAAAGGAAATAAGACACTAGTTGACTTTTGTTTTCCTCTTTATGTACTTTTTGTATTATACAAATAATATGTGTTATTTCTGTGACCAATGAAATAAATTTTTTTCAGACTAAATTGAGAAAAAAATGACAGATGTTGCCAAGTGAGGTGGCTCACGCCTGTAATCCCAGCACTTTGAGAGGCTGAGGCAGGTGGATCACGAGGTCAGGAGTTCAACACCAGCCTGGCCAACACAGTGAAACCCCATCTCTATTAAAAACACAAAAAATAGCTGGGTGTGGTGCCGGGTGCCTGTAGTCCCACCTACTTGGGAGGCTGAGGCAGGAGAATTGCTTGAACCCGGGAGGTGGAACTTACAGCGAGCTGAGATCATGCCACTGCACTCCAGCTTGAGTGACAGAGCCAGACTCAGCCTCAAAAACAAAACAAAACAAAAACACAGGACAATTATCTTAAGTACTACTCTTAAAATTTCAACAATAAAAAGTAAATTCCAAACAATTATATTTAATTCCAGAAAAATAAAAACTCTAGATCTAAAGATCATAAAATCCAAGCTGCTCTTATAGAGTTTCTTTTTTTTTTTTTTTTTTTTTTTTTTTTGAGACGGAGTTTCGCTCTTGTTACCCAGGCTGGAGTGCAATGGCGCGATCTCGGCTCACCGCAACCTCCTCCTCCTGGGTTCAGGCAATTCTCCTGCCTCAGCCTCCTGAGTGGCTGGGATTACAGGCACGCACCACCATGCCCAGCTAATTTTTTGTAGCTTTAGTAGAGACGGGGTTTCACCATGTTGACCAGGATGGTCTCAATCTCTTGACCTCGTGATCCACCCACCTCGGCCTCCCAAAGTGCTGGGATTACAGGCTTGAGCCACCGCGCCCGGCCCGAGTTTCTTTAAAGAAACTTCTTTTTTATTTTTTAAGACAGAGTCTTGCTCTGTCCCCCAAGCTGGAGTGCAGCCTCCACCACCCAGGTTCAAGTGACAGTCTTGCCTCAGCCTCCCGAGTAGCTGGGACTACAGGTGCCTGCCACCACAACAGACTAATTTTTGTATTTTTAGTAGAGACGGGGTTTAATCATGTTGGCCAGGGTGGTCTTGAACTCTTAACCTCAAGCAATCTACCTACCTGGGCCTCCCAAAGTGCTAGGATTACAGGCATGAGCCACTGAGCCAGGCCCTTCTTTTTTTTTTTTGAGAGACAGTCTCATTCTGTTACCCCAGATGGAGTGCAGTGGTGCAATCTCGGCTCACTGCAATCTCCGCCTCCTGGGTTCAAGCAATTCTCCTGCCTCAGCCTCCCGAGTAGTTGGGACTACAGGTGCACGCTACTACACCCAGCTAATTTTTTTGTATTTTTTAGTAGAGACGGGGTTTCACCATGTTGGTCAGAATTGTCTCGATCTCTTGACCTCATGATTCACCCACCTTGGCCTCCCAAAATACTGGGATTACAGGTGTGAGCCACTGTGTCTGGCCTAATTTTTGTATTTTTAATAGAGATGGGATTTCACCATGTTGGCCAGGCTGGTCTGAAACTCCTAACCTCAGGTGATCCACCTGCCTCAGCCTTATAAAGTGCTGGGATTACAGGTGTGAGCCACTATGCCTGGCCAAAAACATCTTCTTGAGAACTGCTGCTAGGCAGAATAGCAGTTTGAGTTTGTACTGATAATTGTTTGCAATCTATGAGTTTTTCTATTTTCCTCAAGTCCATCAAACTGAAGAGGTGTTTTAAAACTATATCAAGTTAACTATGAATATATAATTATATTTCAATACCTCAACACACAGCAGCACTTTGAATGTGATGTGAAATCCAAACAGGATAGCTGTCATCCATTATTATTACATGGGCTATGACCAACAGGAATTTATGTTCTGAGGTAATAACATCAGATTATCCAGAAAGTGGAAATAATTTAAAATATACAATTGTGAGATGTTGGAGAAATAAATGATCCATTCCACTAATATTTATTAAGTACTTTCTAATGAATACCTATGAGAAATCTCCATCATAAAATGAGCACAAAAGATAGCTATTAGACAATTTCCCTCAGGAATAAATCTGACTATAAACACACACATATACCATTTTGAGAGTCAGAAAGAGCACTGGATTATTATGGTGTTAAGGGTGAACATGTGTCTGTGCTTTACTCTGATTAACTGGCAAAGATGGTGGAGTAAGCAGGCTTGTTGTGATGCAGAGCTGTGAGGCTCCAGCAAACTGCACCAACTATTAGCAGGCACCTTGGAAAAAAACCTGGAGGATTATTTAAGGCTCACATTTCATTTAGAGAATATAAATAGCAGGCACCTCAGCGACATGAGTTTCTGGTTTCTTTTCTATCAGCACCCCTTAGTGGTTGAATCATTGAATGGCCTTTTGGGCAAAATTAAATCTGAAGAGAGACAGTAATGGATGGGTGGACTCACCTAATGGCCTCTTTGATGGTAATCATAATGCCACCTTGAGTGGCAACTCTAAACTGACACAGAGAATGGAGAGAGGGCACAGCTTTGTCCAACCCTGCAAATCCTTTCAGGCTGGCAATTGCCTTCTTCCTTTCCAGCTTCCCCAGAATCCATAATAAGATCTCTTGGCAAAGTGACCTGGCAGAAAAAGCAGTTATGAATGAGCTTGTCATCTTACTCCATGCATCTAACAAGCTAACATAAAAAAAGAAAGAAAGGCTGTCAGGTTCCACTGCATTCTAAATGCTGGCACAATTTCCTAGTACTACTGAAATGAAGGAGAGGAAAGTATGCTTCTTGTGAATTTCAGAATGCAAATATCCTGAAATTCAATGACTGACTAATCCTTGGCTGTGGAAGCAACCCTGATATGCCACATGAGCCCCACGTGATTTCTTTTTTTTTTTTTTTTTGGTAATTCCAAGTGTACTACTGCCTTTGCATCAGGCACTGTCAGAGAAAGAATATACGGATAAAAACCATCTACTCTCAGCAGGACTAATAGCTGGACACCAAGAAGCAGCATATCAACAAAATATCACTGATTCCTCAACCCCTTTCATCTGTGCCAGTCAATTAGGAGAGGAACTAAAACAATGTTCACATGTTCCTTGTCAGTCTCTGATGAGAACATGACAGTGCTGTGAGAACTTGGGTTTTAAAACAAAAACAAGAGGCCTGGCGCAGTGGCTCACGCCTGTAATCCCAGCATTTTGGTAATCACCTGAGGTCAGGTGTGTAATATCAGCCTGGCCAACATGGTAAAACCCTGTCTCTACTAAAAACACAAAAACTGGACAGGAGCGGTTGCTCATGCTTGTTGTAATCCTAGCACTTTGGTAGGCGGGTCACGACGTCAAGAGATTGAGACCATCCTGGCCAACATGGTGAAACCCCATCTCTACTAAAAATACAAAAAAATAGCTGGGTGTGGTGGTGGGCACCTGTAATCCCAACTACTTGGGAGGCTGAGGTAGGAGAATTGCTTGAACCTGGGAGGCGGAGGTTGCAGTGAACTGAGATCAAGCCATTGCACTCCAGTCTGGGTGGCAGAGTGAGACTCTGCTCAAAAACAAACAAACAAATAAACAAAAAAGCCTAGCCTGGCATGGTGGCAGATGTCTGTACTCCCAGCTACCCAGGGGGCTGAGGCAGGAAAATCATTTGAACCCAGGGGGCGGAGATTGCAGTGAGCTGAGATCATGCCACTGCCCCCAATTCTGGGTGACAGAGTGAGACTCTGTCTCAAAAAAAACAAAAACAAGAGTTATTTTGTGGACTGTCCCTTGAAACCAAGTTCACAGATGTATAGTCTCCCTCTTCCACTGCATTCTCTCTTGTCATTGCCGTTGTGGCTGTGGGCTACAATAGTGTGCTGACCCAAGCTGAAGAGCCGAGAACATCATACAAGCTTTGAATAGTACAAAAGATGGTGTTTCCTCCACCACGTAGCAATGGTGATAATGATAGCTACCATTTACTGAGCTTACTATTTGCCGGGGACTGTGCTAAACACATTAATGCATATTTAGTCTTCACAATAACTCTGTGAAGAAGGTACCATTATTGTATATCGGATTACATGCGGGGATCACCAAACACCAAAAATCATAATTCTGTAGGACTTGAGATAGGATAACTCTTACCTGGAGGAAGAAACAACATAAATTACTGTGAGAATGGAGCTGATACAAAATGAATCCTACTTAAATACTATGACAAAGGAGTATTTTCTGGGTGACTAAGAAATCCCTTCTTTCTAAACAACACACTGCATCACCAACACCAAATCCCAGGCTAAATTACAAAGTGCCACATTCAGATCTAGATTTCCCAACTTGTTTTCTAACTCCCCACAAGGTCATTATGATCCATCCCCTATTTCCTCCTTCCTAGACAAGTTATTGTAGCATTTCTCACTGATCAAAAAGTGGCATGTTTATACATGTAAACAGAGATTTTGTCTTTGAGATCCAGGACAGAGGCTGTGGAAAGTCATTCTAAAAACTGTATTCAATGCTCTGGGATCTGCAAAATTCTCTTTCTTTTCTAGATGAGCAAAATAGGAAGAGCCCAGTGTTTTCCTGACTTTGAAAGAAAATGGTAATTTCAAAGTGGCAAAGTCTTATATTCAAAATAAGAACAAAAACAACATGCAAAAAAGGCGTCACAATTTATAAACAAATAAGATTCTATTTATAAACAAATAACCGTCTCTTGATTGTTTACCTTATGTGAGATACACTCTGCTTAGTAAAACAGTAGAGAAGAAAAAGCACTCCTAGGACTGGAAGCAGAGAATCCATCAAAACTGTTAAAGGTTCATTCCCAATGACATACACCTAGGGAAAAGGAAATGGTGAAGAATAATTCCATGACTGCCTGGCCAGAGCAAAGAGAATCACATACCAGACACCTAGCAGGGCTCAGTGTCTTTCTTTTCGAGAGGGGGTTTCACTCTTGTTACCCAGGCTGGAGTGCAATGGTGTGATCTCGGCTCACTGCAACCTCTGCCTCCCAGGTTCAAGCAATTTTCCTGCCTCAGCCTCCCAAGTAGCTGGAATTACAGGCATGTGCCATCACGCCCAGCTAATTTTTGTATTTTAACTAAAGACGAGGTTTCACCATGTTGGCCAGGCTGGTCTCGAACTCCTCCCACCTCAGCCTCCCAAAGTGCTGGGATTACAGGTGTGAGCCACCATGCCTGGCCAGGACTCAGTGTCTTAAGCAATATCTCACCCTAATCACACTATTTTAGTTCCAAGGATATGCTCAGATATGGCAATGAAACCATTTGAGTTTGGTAGACAGGCTGAAACAAGAGAGGGAACTGGAGCAGCAGCGTTTCGTGTGTGCAGCCTCTAGAACTGCCTAGAATGGGTCAACTAACCCATTTTCTGACCTCTTCCTTTCCTACTTTTGACTATGTCTGAGTTTCCTAATCTGACTATTGTTTAACTATTTGATAACTGTCCTTCTGCTGAAGGCCCTGCTATTAGGAACAAGTAATTACTACCAAAGGGAAAAACTTAAAACTAGATTTGAAAAATCAAACAAAACCAAACCCAAAACATTTCTTACTCCAGATTCATCACTCTTAAGATGTGACCAACACATAGATATGTCCTATTCTCCCTAATTCTACAAATGTTCAAAGAAATTATACTGTAGGGCTGGGCACAATGGCTCATGTCTGTAATCCCAGCATTTTTGTAAGTCATGGAGGGAGGATTGTTTGAGGCCAGGAGTTCAAGCCCAGCTGTGCAACAGAGCAAGACCCCATCCCTACAAAAAAAATTTAAAAATTAGCCAGGTGTGGTAGCGCACGCCTACAGTCCCAACTACTTGGGAGGCTGAGGCAGGAAGATCATTTGAGCCCAGGAATTCAAAGCTGCAATAAGCTATGATTATGCTACTGCCCTCCAGCCTAGGTGGCAGAGCAAGACCCTGTCTCTTAAAAAAAAAAAGAAAAGTGGCTGGGCACGGTGGCTGACGCCTGTAATTCCAGCACACTGGGAGGCCAAGGTGGGTGGATCACCTAAGGTTGGGAGATCGAGACCAGCCTGACCGACATGGAGAAACCCCAACTCTACAAAAAAAAAAAAAAAAGAAAGAAAAAAAGAGTAATTGCATTGTTCACCTAGATCTTAACTGTGTAGACACAGTTAAGTGTGTGAGATGTTGACTATGAAAAGAATTTAAAAAAAAAAAAGAAAAAAAGAGTAATTGCATTGTTCACCTAGATCTTAACTGTGTAGACACAGTTAAGTGTGTGAGATGTTGACTATGAAAAGAATTTAAAAAAAAAAAAGACAAGTGTGTGAGGATGATGACTTTTTTTTTTTTTTAATAGAGATTTGGTTCACAGCCAAAGATGGTGACTTTTATTAACAATCATAATGTTGCATATTTTAGTTGTACCTTTCAATAAGGCCAGCACAAATGCACTCAATTCAACAAACTTTTACTGAACACTCACTGAGTTCAAAGTACAGTTCTAGGTATGGTAGTAAATATAAAAATCAGTAAGGGTCTTTATCTTCATATTGCTTGTAATTTATGGGAAGACTAAAACAAGTAAACATATTATTTTTATTATTATTTGAGATGTGGTCTCTCTCACCCAGGCTAGAATGTAGTGGTGAAATCATAGCTCACCGCAGCCTCGATCTCTAAGCTCAAGCGATAGTCCCACCTCAGCTTCCTGGATAGCTGGGACCAAAGGCACACAGCACCATGCACAACTAGTTTTTTGTATTTTTAGTAGAGATGGGGTTTTGCCATGTTGCCTGGGCTGGTCTCAAACTCCTGGGCTCAAGCAATCCTCCTGCCTCATCCTCCCACAGTGCTGGAATTACAAGCACCAGCCACTGCACCCAGCCAAGTAAACCAATAATAATGATAAAGCAGATAATTGAAAGTATCTTAAGAAGTGCAAAAACATTATTCAAAACTCCAATTAAACACAATAGAATTTCAAAATGTAATTCTGTTATAATAAAATAATTACAACCTGATAGAATGGACAGTGACAATGGTAAAAAAAGAAAGAAAAGGAGCTGACAATGATTATGCTCATGGTATATGTTCCAGGACCTATGATAGGTTTTTATCTTCCAAGTACTATGCTAGACTCTTTAAAGAGTTAGCTTGTTAAAATTATAACAGTCTCACAAAGTCAGAATTAACAGCCCTATTTTGAGGGTGAAGGGAGCCCAGTGAGATGGCTCACACCTGTAATCCTAGTACTTAGCGAGGCCAAGGAGGGAGGAGCACTTGAGCCCAGGAGTTTGAGAACAGCCTGGGCAACATGGTGAGACCCCATCTCTATAAAAAACAAATAAAATAAAATAAAGGTGAGGGAAGGGAAGCTTAAAGAGGCCCTTATTTATAGAAAGAGTATTGAAATAGGAATCAATGTTGTTCATAAGAAACTAAAGATCATGGAGGCACTTTCATGAGCTGGAAAAAATCTCTGTGTTTTCCCAACGAATCCTGTCTCTTTAAAATCAGTCCTAACTTTTCACATCACTTAAGCCCCCTGACTCCTCTCTGGAGTCTGTTAGCCAAGGAGCCAGCTTCCTGTGCATGATCTAATCTCCATAAGCCCAACTAAATGAAGCGCTGTGTACAGCAGCGTTCAGAAGTCATGCGCAGGCCCAGTGATGATATCACCAATTACAAGAGGCAAAAGAAGAGATCCCCCAGATAACGTAAGGACCTATTGTTAGGCTTTGGATTCTGTGTTCTCAGAGGTAATCTCTGTGGAGCCATCCTTCCTTACCAGGATTTTTTGTACACACACACACACACAAAAATAAACCCCAAAACAACAACAAAAAAACAAAAAACAAACGGAGTTAAGTCTTCATTATTTACTGGCTTGATAGGGCCAAAGCACCCCAAACTTTAACATGAACTCAATTGAGCACACTCCTCAGGGGTAAATGTTATTGCTGATAAACTCCTCTAATTTGGCCAGACGCTGTGCCCCATGCCCATAATCCCAGCACTTTGGGAGGCCAAGGTGGGTGGATCACCTGAGGTCGGGAGTTTGACACCAGCCTGACCAACATGGTGACACCCTGTCTCTACTAAAAAAACAAAGTTAGCTGAGCGTGGTGGCACATATCTGTGATCCGAGCTACTTGGGAGGCTGAGGCAGGAGAATTGCTTGAACCCAGGAGGTGGAAGTTGCAGTGAGCAGAGATCACACCATTGCGCTCCAGCCTGGGCAACAAGAATGAAACACTGTTTCAAAAAAAAAAAAATTCCGCTTATTTTTTCTTTGCTTCTTCCTTACACTTTTCTGTATCTTCTTACAAGGAACAAGTACGACTTTTATATTTGGAAAATAACGTATAGCTATTTATACATATATATTATTTATTTTTAAATAAAGGTTCAACAAATGTGTACTGAGTGCCATTTTTGTGCTACCACACTTGCAGTTCTGCAGATATGGTGCTGAACAACGTATCTGCTTCAAGGAGCTAACATTCTAATTGGAAAGACAGGCAAGAAACAACTATATAATACCAGGTAGTGACAAGTGCTAGGAAGAAAGTAAAGCAGGTTAAATGGATAATGATGAGGGGAAGAGAATGCAGAAAGAAAGAAAAATTAAGAATAACCCTTATTGGCTGGGCGCAGTGGCTCACGTCTGTAATCCCAGAACTTTGGGAGGCAAGCGGATCACGAGGTCAGGACTTTGAGACCAGCCTGGCCAACATGGTGAAACCCCATCTCTACTAAAAACACAAAAATTAGCCGGGCATGGTGGTACACGCCTGTAATCCCAGCTACTCAGGATGCTGAGGCAGCACAATCACTTGAACCCTGGAGGCAGAGGTTGTAGTGAGCCAAGATCACACCATGGCATTCCAGCCTGGGCAACAGAGCAAGAAGCTGTCTCAAAAAAAGAAAATAACCCTTATCAATTTACCAACTAGTATCTATCAAGTTCACAGATAGAAACAGAGAAATAGGACTTTTTTTTTTTTTTTTAAGTGAAGACTTAGAATTATGGTTTCCTTTTGGTTCAATCTGATAAATAAATGTTTTCTACGTATCTTTTTTTTTTTGAGATGGAGTCTCACTCTGTCACCCAGGCTGGAGTGCAGGTGGCATGATCTCAGCTCGCTCACTGCAACCTCAGCCTCCCAAGTAGCTGGGACTACAGGCATGTGCCACCATGCCTGGCTAATTTTAGTGGAGACGAAGTTTCATCATGTTGGCCAGGCTGCTACAGTATCTTAAAGAATGTCAATGGCCTTTCCTTGATATATACACAATTGTCACCTTCTTTCCAACACTAATAGTAAATTTCCTCTGTACTGAGCTAAAATCTAACTCCCTTTAAGCTTCCCTGATGGAAGTACATGTATCATTTACAAGTTTTGGGCTGGGTGCCATGGCTCATGCCTAAAATCCCAGCACTTTGAGGCTGAAGTGGGAAGATCACTTGTGCCCAGGAGTTCAAGACCAGCCTGGGCAACATAGCAAGACCCTCATTTTTACAAAAAGCAAAAATTAGCTGGCCAAGGTGGTGCACGCCTATACTCCCAGCTACTCAGGAGGCTGAGGCAAGAGGATCTCTTGAGCCCAGGAGTTCAAGGCTGCAGTGAGCCATTGCACTCTAGCCCAAGCAACAGAGCAAGATTCTGCCTCTAAAAAATTAATTAAAATAAAAAATAAAAGTTTTGGGCTAAGCATAGTGGCTCATATCTGTAACCCCACCACTTAGGGGGGCTGAGGAGGGAGGATCACTTGAGTACCAGAGTTTGAGACCAGCCTGACCAACATGATGAAACCCTATCTCTACTAAAAATACAAAAATTAG